AAATTAAATATGAGACTCAAAGCTACAAGTAAATTATATGCTGCAAGCCTCAAGTTCGGATCTTCACTACCTATATTAAGGAGCGCCATATTTAATAATGTACCGGGGACATCATTAGGTCGAATTACTCTCTCAGTAATATTTGTGGGTTTTGCTATTTGATATCTGGCTTTAGAAGAGCGAATAGCCTTATGAAAGTGGCAGAAATGATTATTAGAGATGATGCATATATTAATAGTAAGAGAGAGATTAAAAGTGATAGATACTTGAATTATAGCTTCTTTTTTTGGACTTGTAAAAGCAAGTGTTGGTCTTCCGAGGTCTTGTTTAATAATAAATTCATCATCATGCCTGTGAGAAGAAAGGACGACGTCTTCAATCTCTGAAATGTGATATACATCATTGAGATAACAGCTTAATCCATTAAATATTTCTTGTCTCCTTTGCTAAATAATTGAATGCAAGTTGATGAGTGACAACATTTTAAGCAAGATAAATAATATAATAATAAAGCATCTTTACCGTTATTATTTGAATGGTTTCATTACTGATCTTCATAGTAACAGGAACTTGCATTCTGTAATGTGAAATCTTTATTACAGGACTGAATATTTGGGGCAGATCAGTATCAAGTTGCACTAGAAAATAAGGTATTTTGCTTAATTTAGTATATAATTCTTGCACAAGTTAATATTATAATAATTTTGTAAAAAAAAAAAAAAAAAAAGAAGCTAACTTGTTCTGTTTGGCAATCTAACATCTTGAGGTGCTATATATTGATGAAGTTCTTCTAATGTACAGAAAAAATACGTTCTCTTGCTAATTTTGCTGGGCAATGATTGTATTTAAGACATTAAAGTCAAAGATAATAGATAAAAAAAAAAAAAGCAATTTTCAAACAATAATTTGATTATAAAAGGATATTTCCTAATTTTTTAATAAATTTCTTGAAAGAACTATTTGGATTATAAAAATATAAAGCTGCTAGATTTTCGATGGCATTAAATGGGAGAATTTGCACGAATTGTTGCACCCATTGGAATTGTATTTCATTTGCTTGTCCAAATTGTGTAACATCAACCAGCAGTTCGTATGGTTTAGAGATATATGGTTCAATTACCTACAATAAACATGTTTGTAAAATAATATTACTGAAATGAGGGCATAAACAATAGAAAATGAACCAATCTACATACTTGAAGAATATGGTACATTAAGAGATCCATATCAGTGGACTCTGCCTCAAATCGTCTTAATATTAAATAAAACACTTGCCTCCTTTCCTAAATAAGAAAACACGTTAACTCAATATATTTGGGTTATTATTCTCATTTCTCACGAACCTTTGATAAGGCACCATCATAAAATAATGATTTTGATATTATAGAATCAACTGAACGATTAGCATTTCGATGCATAAATTCAGTGAAAAGCTGATGATTTGTCTCAAAATGACGATTATTATTGCTCTGAAACAAGTCTTTCTTTTGACTCTCAGCTGGAGGACCAAGATGAGCTAGCAATGTAGAAATTTTATCCCATGCTTGTTTGCTTGTTTGAGCCTGATCAAGTATAATATTTGCGGAACTAGCAGGATTTATAGATTTAACTCTACGCGTTTGTAAGTCTTTGGCCATTTTTTCTTGGTTTTCAATTAAATACTTATGGAGTGCCTTTCGATCGGTCTCATCCAACTTACGAATATTGCCTTGATCACTTGTCCTTGTATCTGAGAATGATGGAATATTTGGCAATTTCTATGGAATAAAATTAAGAAATAAATGAATCATATAATCTTTGAATGTGATTTTGTGTAACTGATACTTACAGAAATTTCTTCC